CAAGTGGCTGTCTTGGAGGAGGCTCAATGCATGCTGCCTAATGTGCAATATGTGTAAGCAACTGTTACAACACTCAACTAATAATGAGCTGTACAAAGATGAAAACTGAGGCATTGTCTAAAGAGTCTGTGCAGTGTACATGAAATAACTGGTGTACTTGTTATTTTCCAGTTTATGAGCTGATGAATGCTGCTTCAACCACTGGGCATTCTGCCTTCAGTTTTAACTTTGTAAAACATAATGCAGTGATGAGTAGGAGGCAGCTGCAATTCTTGATTTCTTTATGGCTGCATTGTATTACATATAACACACTCACATATCAAGCACACGCAAGAGCAGCTCATTAAATATCACTACAGCCCAGTTTCAAGTGTGTATGTTCATTTTGCACGAGCCTTGTGAAACCTTGAAACACGGCAGGACTGGAGAGGCAGCACTGACAATGAAGCAAAATTACAATCATGTGGAACGAGACCAAGGATTTCAAGTACAGCGAAGTGAATTCAATGAAAATTTAGCGCTGGCTGAAATAGTTTGCAGAAAAACAAAATGAGCTGTATTTAACATTCAGGCACATTGCTGAAAAGTGACAACTGCTTATCTCCATGGAGATCAATAATGGCTGCGGGATCATTGTGTAAAGTGTCTGCAGGTTTAATGCAGATAGGATGTCATTATTATTTTCTTTCTCCTAATGACCATCATTATGCACGGACACTGATTGAATTCCATTTGTTACCTACGTTTGAGCCTGAGTGGAATAATTACCATTTAAGTATCTCCATTAAAATTCATGCACGGATGTTCATACTCAGACCTTCTTTTAAAAATAACTAAAATATTCTTTGAATACAAAATGCTGCGGATATAACCCAGCCTTAGCTTTCATACTTCACGTATAATTACATGCAAGTGTTATTAAAGCGTGTGGTCTTTTTTAGCTTGTAGGATTTTCTTTTTTAATCATGACAAAAGAAAGGCAAGTAACGGTTGCTGCTCGGTTGCCATCAATGCAACACACTCTCTTAATATTTAATTAAAATGGATCTGCTGGTAAGTGTGATCAATATCCAGTCCCCTGTCTAAATTGCTTTTTCAACCTCTTGTGTCACATTCAAAATAAATATGTTTTAATAGTTGCATGCACATCTATTAGATTTATGTTTTTATACCACCAGATAAAAGGTGACTGTGTTGTATTGAGGTATTAGTGCGCATTTCCGCTGTTACCCAAGCATGAATGTGATTTCCTCCTGCTCAAAAGGCAAACTCATTCATAGTAAATAAACCTGTTGGTTTATCCACCAGTGCATGAATTCAGCACCAATAAGAACGTGTCACTTCTTGTTTCTTGTGTTGCTACTGGTCATCCTGAGTGTGCAGAAGCCCAAGTGGAAGTATCCATGTTTATGTTGCAGGTAAATAAGGATGCCTCTTCCCTAACAGAGCCATCTTTCTGTAAATACACGGCTGCGGCGGAACGGTGAGCCGGCACAGGAGAGCAGCGAGGGGATTTGGCCACACCTAATCAATCACTGACAGATTACTGCTAAAGCCACTTCCATACACATTAAAGAGGGACAAATGCAGAATTGCAACTGAACAAGTTCTAGTTTTAAGCCAACAGTGGGACTTCCTGGTGATTTATCAAAGTCACTGCTGCTGAGCGGCACGCCTGTGTGATTGTAGTTCACAGCAGACAGAACTGAGGCACAGCATTGAAAGGAGTGTTTATGCCCTCAGCTGTGGCACTGTCAGCCTTGTGGAATTTACTGTAAATCACATTGCTTTTATTGCAAGATTTAGTAGCTTATCCTCTGTGGGCTCTATTCACTTCAAGCTTGTCCCTATTAGGACTTAAGCTCCAGCCTATACTGGGACTCGGATACACATCTTGAAATAATGTGGGAAATCAAGCCTGTAATTCTTCACTTTTTACACATCTTTCTTCCCATAATAGCCGCTGCCCCTTTTGTAGTAAAAATGTTTCATTGCAGAAACTAGACGACACTCTTATGCCTCGGTGTCTTGCGTGTTATGTCTCCTCAGAGATCTCTATATCCGATAGCCCAGAGATATGCAATCTGGCAAATTATGTTGTTTACAGCGCTGCTCCATGAAAAGCCCCCAAATCAGATTTGGTCAAGTTGTTAAATGTCTGAAAAGGAAAAGCACCAGGGATATAACTTGATTTTTTTTTTTTTTTCAGTTGAGGTTTGATGGCTTTTATTGCACAATATTAAACAACAATCATAGTAAAGATGAATCAGTAAATAAACAAACCACTGACCAGGGGAATAGAAAAGTTCTGTTTTATATCTATGATGCATGCATGTGAAAAAACAAAGACACCACTCAGCTGGTTCCTCCAACAAAGTCGGTCTTTACTGAAATAACAGCCACCCAGGCCAGCAACATGACTGGAGTGATCACACATGACACAAGAGTCTGTAGGCAGGAGGTTAAAAAACAGCCAGTCACATGCTCTAAAACCCCCAACCTCATTCCTGGGGAAATTAACCATCTTTTCTCAGTGTGTGCGGTGTGTGTGTGTGTGTTTGTGTGTGTGTGTTTATATGTGTATGTATGTGTGCGTGCTTGCCGGATAGGAAAGTGGGTGTCAGCAAATCTTGTAAATTCATTCACGTTTTATTCTTTCAGAGTGTTTTCTAATTCTAGGTGAAATAAATTTAAAGACATATCACCGTATATTCATCTATAAATTACTCTTGTGTAATTAAAGCAAAAATGTGAATATGTGTTTTTCATTATATCCCAAAAGAACATATAACATCCTAAAATCTTTACGTTAACCAAATATAGTCTGAAATTGTCTGACACCAAATCATATATTTTTCCTCAAGGTTTGATCCATGTCAAGGAGGATTCAAGTGTGTGATGGACATGAACTGTGATCCCTGTAGCTGTATGTGCGGGTGTACGCATGATGTGTGTATTGACGTGCCGTAGCAAGAGTTCAGGGAGGCAGCTGAGCAAAATAATTCAGAATGTCCTGCCTGCTGACACAAGGACAAAGGCACAGACTGAACATGCCCATATGAGGAAGGAGACAATGGACGTGGCCACACCTGGAAATGCACTGCTGTTTTTTTTTTGTTTTTTTTTCACCGTGACCTCCACAGCACACAAAGATTTCCACAGGCTGTTCCTACAAGCGTGGACACTCGCTTCTGGTCAGCTGAGTATTAGCACGATATTGTTCAACTATGGCCAGAAAATTACCTGATGAGCGCTGGCATCTTCACATTAGCAGCCGATTGGATGAACTCACAAACACTATGTTATCATGGTGACTGTTTGCTTCTTCGGATCTCTAAATGTTGGACTATTGACAAAATCTGCCTTTTTTTTGTCTCTAAATAACTCGAGTTTATGCATGTTATTTTTTCGAAGACATGCTATTCTTGCTGGGATGAAAATAAGAAACAATCTCTTCATACTGTACATGACTGACACTGGACAGTATCTGCCACTGTCTAGAACAGCTCCATGTCCTGCCTTATGGGTAGGATTTCTCCAAAGAGCTCATGCAGTCGGAATTAGCATGGCACAGTCAAGGGAGTTCTGAAGGCTGAATCAATGCATCACTCCCAGGGCCTTGGGCATGGATATGAAGGGGCATAATGGGACTTTTGGTGCCGATCCTCATATCATGTGTCTAACCAGGGTCTTCCTGCAATGCCTCCCCAAAGGAGAAGAGATCACCTCACTCTTTCAAGGCTGTGTGCAGATAATAGAGAGAGGCTGCAGAACACCCTGGAAAAAGAATGTGTCAAAACAAGTTTTTAAAGCAAAGTATTTTTACATATTTGGTAGAGTTGAGAGGATTGATACAGCCTTCACATTTGCCTGCTAAATATTGAGCAGCCAGCAGCTTGGTATAAAAATTTAAAACATAGGAAACAGCGAGTCTGTCTAAACATAATCATGCCCACCGTCACTGCTACAGTTCACTAATTAACATTTTAAAGTATTAGTTGAATCCACACAAAAACCAAAGTCTATCAACAACAAACAGTAGTTTTACAGGGGGAATCTTTCCTGGCTGGTTTCTGTCCTTGCTGTACGGTTTCCAGGCAACCTGCGGCAGCTTCAAATTCCCCTTATATCTATTCTTTATGCTAAGCTAAGATCGGCTGTGATATTTCAGGTCTATTTTCTCATATTTAGTGAGCATGCATAAGATAGGTATCAGTATTAACTTCCGAGGCTGGAGATATTCTAGCTTGCGTTCACCTAGACAACCAGATGTGTTGTGAGCGTAACTTTTCACATGCTTACTATTACACGTGTATTATGCAAGTTACTGGTGTATTCCACTAGAAGGCACACCACAAGAAATCTAAACTTACAGAACTTTAAAAAAATAGCATAAATTATCCCAGCGCCAGAATGAGGTATGTGAGGCACTTAAATCAGAAACATTGTGGTAATGGCAGGGATCTGCACCCACACTCCCCCTACTGTTCATGTGTGTATTGCAGCTTGCAGACACAGTATTGATTTCTGAAGATATGCACAACTGCTGCAACAACTGGACGCAGCTTTAGTGAGACAGCCATGATTCATATGTTTAAAAAAATCTCTGGCCTTAGTCTTAGCAAAAAAATATTGCTTTTACAGCGACAAAGCATGACCCATGGAATATAATCAGTTGAGAATATTCCAGTAGGTTGGTGAGATTCATTTTGAGGTTAATTTAGATGATTCCAAATAACAAAGTATTGTAGATCAGTATTGAGGTTATTCTTCAAATCTGCAGACCAGTGTTAAGCAATTAATTTTTAAAGCTGATCACATGTTTAACATTATTTGTATTTAATAAACATAGTTTAATTATGTTTAAATATCAATAATGATATCAGAATGAGCCAGACGTGCACAGTGCAGGGCAGAAGAAGTCAGGTTCCAGCACAGTATATTTATTTAGTTAATACATCGTGTCGGCTGTAGCTTAATGCCACTATAGTCTCCTGTGTGAGCTGCTGCTCATTAACGTGGCTCCTCTTTGAATTTGGCTCCTGCCTCAGAGAACATGCGCAGTGCGCAGCAGCGCTGCCTTCAGTCAGCGGAGCAGCTGTCCAGGGTTTGGAATTCCAACATGGCAGAGGCTGTGGTCAGTCTTCCCCTCACTAACTTGGAATGGTTTCAAATGGCGAGCAGCCGCGTTTAACCCCCAGCGAAGCCGTTCGTCTGCGCCCTCAGCACCGGATCGATGCCGCTGTGAAACCCGGACGCTTCCCCTCTCCCCGGTCACCTACACAGGTAAGTCTTTATCTCCTGTGTGAGTCAGCGGCGCTAACAGTTACAGGGAGAGAGAAACGGGAGCAGCTCCGTGCGCGCAAAGACACCGTGTCGCGCATCACGGAGCTGCAGTGCAGCGCGCGGCCGGTGTGGCTCCTCCAGAGCGCAAAATAATCCTGGTCATTACTTGTCAATAATAAACAGCGGTGTCGGGATCAGAGGGACGCTGCAGATAATGCGTCCGAGGAGAACGCACACGGCCGGAGCCAATAACTTTCCCAAAACGAGAAGTTTGTCTTTTTTTTCTGCATGTCAGCCTGAATAAAACTTGCAGCATAACCGCAGGCGGGGGGTTAATAGACGGCTTGTCATTGCAGCTCTTAGTGGGACAACTGCTGGCAAGTAATCTATTTTAAAAGTAAAGGCAGGCGAGGAGGAGGAGGAGGAGGTGGGGGTGCATCACGCTGGTTTAGCCTCTTCCTCTAATGGGCGGCATGAAGAATGTGTGTTTTATGTCATCCAGTCCCCTCATGCTTCCTATTCTCCTGTTTCAACTCGCGCAAAGAAGTGACAGGCTCCAGCCGTGCCTGCAGTGTGCCTCTCGCGTCCAAAGAAGAAAACAATCCACTTTATGCTCCCATGTTCCGTTTTTTCCTCCGTCTTGCATTGTTCCAAATTACACGGCCCCTAAATGAATAGGATCCGAGGGAAGAACACGCAGGGGACCGTGCGTTTTTTAATGTTGTGAAATCTGATAGCTGCAGGAAAGAAGAAGGAGAGAAGAGAAGAAAAGAAGTGCCTGTAATGAGAAGCAACCTTTGGAATTCCTCCTCGTGAAAAATCCGATTCTGCTGTTTTTCCCCCTCTCTTGTCTTTAGGCTTGAAGACATGATCACTAGCACCAGTATTTATGGTATGTTGATTTTTGTAATTATCTTCACTGATTTCATATTTGCCATGTTTGGGGAAAAAGAGGCTGTTGTTGCAGTAATGCATTTTTTTTCTTTGTGCATGCATGCTTCATCTTACAAAAGTTAACTTAATCCAGGTTATAACATTTTCATGACCACAGTCCAGCGATGAGTACACATTATGTGATTAATTCTATATTATATGGATCATAGGATCAATAAGGTTCAATTTACTGAGTGATGGTTAAATATCTCAGATGCTTTGGTTTCTTGCTGGTTTTTCTATATTATTTCACTGCTTTCATATTTTTGCATGCAAAACTTTAAAAAAAATGATATTTTGGCCAATGCACATAATGGATGTGAATATACCCAGAGGGGCTGTTAAATTAAATTTGGAGATTAAATTCTAAACTTACTTATTTTAAACAGTTTTCTGTGTGGAATCACACTTAATGTAAAAGTATTCAAGATTATATTCTCATAACTGCTTGGAAAATTATTAGCTCATGCTAAAATACTGTTATTTGTATAAAAACTAAATAGAATGACAGTGTCTGTTTTTTATCTATAGTTTGAGATTGATAATTATAAATATGAAAGACAAGTGGAAAGCAAATAGTACAAAAAAAAACCCACTTACAAGAATGCTCTAACATGTCGAGACTGTCAAACCCCTTCTGCAATAGATTTGGAAAACACACACTTGTGAACTTATTCAAAGTTTAATTTATAAAGTTGCCATGTTCTTTTTTTATTTACTTGTCACACTCTGTAACAACTTGCCGGTGAAACTTTGAACTAATTTGCTCGCAAATTGGTTCAAAGGCAGCGTCAGAAATAGCTGTTACTCATGTTCCAGTGGAAATGCTTTGTGACAAGCCAGTAAATGGATCTGAGCGTGGACACAGAAGTCAGCAGAAGTAACAAGTTGTGCGCTGTCTCTCTTTTTTTGCAAACACTTTGTCCCAAGTTAACCTTTCCCCACCTCCGTCAAACAATTTACTTAATTGTGTTCGCACATTTCATTTGCATGTTTTGCTCTGAGAGGAAATTAACATCATCAGCAGCGAGCTGAAGTATGTTTTTACTCCTCTTCAAAAATAACAGCATTGCAGCATCTGTCACTCAGTGGGAGGAAAAAAAGTGTACATTACTACCACATTCATTATGTGTGAGTGTTTGGTTGTGATGTGTTTTTTTGTGAAGTGGGTTTTAAATTTGTTGGTTAGATTTTTATGTTATTTCATATTTAGACCTCCCCCACCCCCACCCCACATCACCATGCATGTGTGATGTGATATTTTTTTATTGATTTGAGCTGCAAAGATATGGACACTGAGGAGAAGGGAAAATTGTTTATTTAATAGAAATTGAAATCTGTATTGGCAGTTTGCATATATCTATAACACCTTGCATGTATAGTCTCTTCAAATGTATGATTTGTTTTTTTGTTCCTGGATGATTTAATTGCAAACTTCTAAAAAAATCACGGATGCATGTATTGTCACTTTGCCGTGCACAAACCTAATTTTTTGCAGAAGTTGGAGTTTGAAAACACAGTGGAAGAGCAGATGTATCTTTTAAATCACAATGGATCTGCACATAACAAACAAATAATGATCTTTTTGCAATTAGAAAACCCTCCTCTCATAGATTTAATCATAAGTGTCCTAATTATTAAGTACCTGAGGATATTAATCAGTTCAAGCCCCTGGAAAGGTTGGTGTGTGTGTGAGCTCCTGCAGTGTGAGGTGGTGCTCGCAGATCCTTACTTAACCCCAGACACCTCTGCTGTGCATGGGTAGAAGCTTGACAGCTCTGTTAATTTCTGATAGGGCAGCACTTATGATCGCAATCTAAACTGTTGCTTGTCATGAATCTCTGTGCTGCAATTCAATGACAGATACTGACCCTCCGGTCTTTATCACCCTCTTTACACAATGATACACACGTTCACACCACAAGAGCTGATAATATCTGGAAATAATAACAAGAAGTTGTGTGAATTATTTCACAGTGACACCGGGAGAGATATGTTGAAATATACTTGTTATTTTTAGTCATGTTGTGTTGACAAAGGAATTACTTGCAGATGGTAGCCAAAGCAGAGGTTTTCAATCCCACAGTACAGTCATTGCACCGTTCACAAGCTATTTATTAAAAAATTATATTAGGTAATTAAGAATTTTCTTTATCATCTCTAATGCGGCATTAGAAGCTCACATTTATTTTTAAAATTTCCAGGAATTCAGATTTGTTCAACTCCTATGGTTGTTAGAACATACGATATACTCCTGATGAATTGTTAGGTGAATGAATCAAAAACAATCTCTGACTTATTGGTGTCATTAGTGTGAAGTGATTTAGCAGCTCTAAATCTTCTGTTCACAATCCGAAGTGCACATGTAACACTGCCAGCGATGGCTTAAATTGACAGCATGACTTAAACCATAGGGGAAGTGGGGCACGGCCACACTGACACGTTATACATGTCCGCTAATGATGACAATTAAAGGCAGTTCCTGGATGCCTCGAGCTGCCTCTGTGTGTATACACCCCCTGGGATGTCTGCAGGAGCTGCTGTAAATTGATGAAATGTTCATCTTTACAGAGGGATCTATTTGTCATTAACTACAAGAAAATCCCACTCAGCCTCCTGACTATAGAGATCAGTGAAGGATTGTCATCTTTAAGCAAACATGTTAAGTGGTGTCTTTTCATATGAAGAGCGACTGAAGTCCCCGGTGGAGTCAGACTCCATGAAGAAAAGAAAAAAAAGGCACAAAAATCTAAAATTTTTCTTCTAAGTATTCAACATGTTCCCCCCTCCTCCTCTCCTCCCCTCTCGTTCTCTCCCTTTCTCCGTCTGTCTCCCTCCCTTGTATCCACATCGCTGTCGTTTCCCTCATGGCAACTCGCTATGTTATCTTTGTGTGTTTCTCTCCGCGCTGACAATCCTCGCAGTGATCTAAGTTGGACTGCATTAGAAAGTGGAGGCAGCTGTCTGTTGCTATACTGAGGGACGTGTTTGCTCTACTGCAAAGATGAAGGACCACGAATCCTTGACATCCTCCCTTTTCTCTCCCCTCCTCCTCCTCCTCCTCCTCTTCCTACCATCTCATTTAGACACAGCGACTGTCTGCTCAGACTTGTTTTTTTCCTCTGAGTGACAGCATATGGCATAGACATTTTCTAAAATGCATGTGGCTACCATTGGCTGCTTGTACTTACCCTTCACATGTCTCCTAGCTACAGGTCTGTCATTTTTTCCTCTAATTCAGACAAAACCCAGTTTAATTAAGGTGAGCAGATCTGAGTGGATAAAGCAACACGGGCTGTATTTATGTCACTGTAACTCGTTTTATTGTCACATACATAATGTATTTTTCAAAGCAATATGTGCGTACATATATGGTGCATGTGTGTTTGTGTGCACATTCTATGTGTGTGTATGTGTGTGCATACAGGTCTGCCTGCCTTTTTGTCTTTGTGCTTTTTTTTTTCAGAACCACTTTTGTGGAGGACAGAACAGCTTTTTCTCTCTAATTCTTTTCTTTCTTTTTTTTAAGTAACGTATCTCTCCCATATACATGCTGTGACGTTATTATGATCCATGCCATATTGCATGATGTGCTTATAGGACCTTGGGGTTACTAAATGACAGATTATAATAGAAACACTGTCGTAAGTCATGTTGTAGAGCTGGTTTATTCAGGCCATATGTGCCAGCCAGGCATATTATTAATACAGAGTACACAGCATTAACAGCATTCACAGCTTAAACTCCTCGTCCTCCTCATTTCCACACATGGAAACAGAGGCTTTGTTTCATCTCCTTCACTTGAAGTGTGTCTGCACTCATAAGAAGACAAGGCAGCTCCGTGCCTGTTGGGGATTGGCTAGAATAGACAATCCCCAGGTGTACTAAACTAGGTTTAGCACTAAGGCTTTTAATCTGGACTTGTAGGAGATTCATGTGCATTCATAGATTTGCCTCTGTAATTATCATACCCCCAGTGGCAGCCAAAGAGATGTTTGCCTAAATCACTGATGTCCTCATTACACTGTTTACATTTTAATTAGACATGCACAGTTATTCTTTCTTTTTCTTTAGTGGACAAAATGATTGGAGGTTTTCCTTTCTACATGGAGTGTTGCCTGGTTGTTCAAATTTTGCAAAAATAACTGTCCACACTTGTCTTCTTAATGTTGACTCTTTACGTCTCCTCGAAATGGTCTATATGATGTTTTCTGTACGAAAGAATATAATCAGTAGAATCTGAATCAGAGTGGCAGTAAATAACTCTAGACAAAAGATTGAACATATTTGTCCACAATAAGCAATGCTACTGTTTCCATATATTTAAATTACGTCAGCAAACATATCTTCAGCTCAAGGACCATGATTAACAAAATCCACAATGGCATGATTTTTGAAAATCGCTGGCACTTTGAGCCGTCATTGTGCGTCTGAGTGCTGTTGCTTATCATTGAATAACCTTGGTGAGGAGAGGTGTTTTTTCCTGTCCTTCTTCCAAGGTGTTTTTTATTATTGACGTGCTGTTGGTGACTTTTGTATTGTGGGAGAGCAGCGAGCCTTTCACTAGAGGATAAGAGAAAACTGTATTTGCTCTATTGAAATTCCCCCTGTGTTCTCGCAAAACACTGTCTGACTAATCTGGTAATCGAGGCCGCCATTTTACCGGACTGAAAACCCATGCAACTGGAGAACCTTGAAGTACTTTTTTTTTTCTTCACCTCACCGCATTTGTCTGTTTTATCAGTTATTCTAAGGAGTGCAAGTTTGAAATATGCACTTTTCTTTAATGCAAATCTTCAAAGTTTTCTCGATATTGTGCTACCTGTATGGATATAACCTCTTAAAATCATTAAAAAAAGGGTGGCATCCTACTGCTGAGATACAACCTCTAATTTTATTGAGAAAAATTTTCTAAGAAAATATATATAATATATAAGGAGATAAAAAGAAAATTTGTCC